ACGGAAAAATTCCATGCTCACCCAATCAGAAGGTCTCTATGCAGGAATTAAACAACAGGGACATGTCACCTAGACCACTTCATTGAGAGTACCTATAGTGTCACTTTAATTACACTAAGTATTTTCAACATACTTCAAAGATTCACACATGTTCACCCACATTTTTCCCCCCCAATTTATATCTACCGCATGTTGATATTTTATTTACATGCAATGTGAGTGCAAGGTATTAATATGTACAAAGGATCAGCGCTACTATACTAGATCTTACAGAGATAAATATAAGGCAGCACACCTGAGCAATAGGGCTCCCTCACAGGCCCTATAGAATAGACAAAACTAAAAAAGGTGAAGGGGGAGGCGGTGCCACAGGTGAAATAAAATATAAATAAATAAATAAACCTATTATAAACTATACAAGCACATATACAAGACAATATATAAGAGAAAATACATACAAGATAAAAAAACAAAAAGAGTTTGAAATATGGATAATAAATAATAATCAAGAGTCCAAAGATTAAATCCAAAAGAGTCTATGCCTGATAAATGCAGCAAATGAAGTCCAAATAAAACCTTGTATAAGAAGTCAATCACAATCTTGTCAGGGGAAGTATTCCTCAGTAACGTATGGACATGGAATATTCGTGAAATCCATATGAAAAAAATGAAAAGACAGCAAATAATGGTGCAGTATATCCCAACAGGAACTAAGTACTGTTTTTAGAGGTCTATATGGTCCTACTCACGTTTTCCAGAGCTATAAGACTAGCTCTAGTGTGGATGGCATACAGTGGTACAATCCCAATTATGGGATACGTGAAGTTTTGTAGTAGATGGATATCTTTTTGGTATAAGGACCATATGAAATGTAAACAATAATAGTGCTTATTGTATAAATGCCAGAGGTGAAGTAATAAAATACCAAGTGGTTACATTTTATTGAGCAGGCAGACTGCTCAATGGATAAAGCTTGAGTGGTATAATCCCCACCAAGGATTCTTTGGAGTAAAATTTTCACTGGAACAATAAAAACTCTGGTGCCAGGTAAAAATAAATAAAAGAGTAAAATGGCTGACTCACAAGTTGAAAGTGGCCAAAATACCTTTAATAAAATACAGCAATTAAAATACAGCAAATCATTTCTCCCCTTAGGGATTTCTTTTTATCCACTTGAGAAAGCCCTAAGGGGAGAAACTCGTTATTTATTTATTTATATTTTATTTCACATGTGGCGCCGCCTCCCCTTAAGATTTTTTAGTTGAGTGCAAGGTATTGTCTGTGAGAGTGACTGCACATGAATTAATGTGAGATGACCGAAGGGGAACAGGGAGTGAGTTGAATGATCAGGAGGAGATAAGTTGGAGATGGTGAAAGGAGATAGAGTATATGTAAGACATGACAAAGAGTAAGAAGAGTCCTTGTACACAGAGGTTTTTTCAGGAGTTTCAGCAGTATTTTTTTGGAAAGAGGATGAGAATTTTAAAAAAAAAAACAGGTATATTGTATGGAAAAATGAAAAGGGGGTTCTTGAACTTTAGGCCAGCTATAGTTCAGTCAATTATAATTCATAATGCTGAAAAGTGGTCCTGGTCAAGAACATGTTGGACAATTAAGTACTTTTGTTAGCAGTGACAAAGGCAAAATGATTCTGTTGCATGACAGCAAGTAGTGGAGCAACAGCTAATGCTTTAAATAGTATGTGACTCTTATGAAAACCAAAGTCCATCATTCAAAAGAGGTTTTCATTTATTTTAGTATACATTTTGCAAGAGTTGAAGAGAGTTGAAAAAACTCATCATTAAGGTAAAAACACTTGGATGCTTGTTTGCAAAATCCAGAGTTGTTTCAATGCTATTTTTTATGTAGTGGAATGCTGGGGGAGGTGTGAGGATGTTCTGCCCTGGGTGACAGGTGGCAAGAGTATGCACAGAGCATAACCTTCCTGCCTGAGCAGGCAACTACATATTAGCACCTTACTGGCAGAGCTGCCATATGACAGGTACATGTTCTGTGACTTTTTGAGACGGTTGAGGTGTGGGGAGCCAAGGGGGCTGCTGGGAACCCTCTACACTGATTTCCAAGCTCTCTCATGCACCCAGAAATCCTGCTGGAGCCAGGATATTGTCATCCCAGCCTTGGCAACAATACTATCTTTTTTTGTATTTCCCCCATTATCCTTATTATGCTTTTGGATTGAATATTTTAATTTAACCCCTTAAGGACGGCGCAGGGCGGCATAGAACGCCCAATCCGTCCTATCCGTCCTATGTACTTACCCGGTCACGGAGCCCAGGGAGTCCCCCTCTATCCTCTTTGGCCCCCCTGGGAAATGTGATCACGAGGTCCTTGCGAGGACTTCATGATCACATGGACGGCATAGCCGTCCAAGGCTTTGCCAGCAGGGGGAGTGCCTGGAATGACAGGTACTCAATCCTGCTGTCTGAAAATAAATAAAATAAAAGTTAAATCAGTGTAAAAATAAATAATATATACTTAGATCATATATATTTAATATATATATGATCTAAGTATATATATACACATATACACACATACACATAAATACACATACACTGTCTAAGTGTATGTTAATATTAATATATATATAATTATAAATATATATTAATATCAAAATACACGTACAATGATATTGATTAAATATATATATATATAATTTTCATTATATATATATTTATATATAATATAAAATAAATAAATCTGTAAATACGTTAAAAAATTAAATAAAAAATAATAAAAAAATGAATAAATAAAAAATATATATACATGTGTAAATTCGTTCTAACTGTATTTTAAAATTAATATATATATATTGATATCAAAATACATGTCGAACAAAATAATATATATATATATATATAAGTATATACGTATATATAAATAAAAATAATTTTAAAAATTATATACATATATATAATTCTACGTATATATTTATGTAATAATTTTACATAATTTTACATAATTAGGTAATTTTATTAATTACAATTAGCAGGACCAGCCTGACAACCCAGGCCAAAAGTCCAGGGAATTTAATTTGCTAGCACTATATTTAACCCTGTAACTTTCCAAGACACCATAGAACCTGTACATGGGGGTACTGTTTTACTCGGAAGACTTCGCTGAACACAAATATTAGTAACATGTATTACAACGATGATATTGTCAGTGAAAGTGAAATTTTTTGAATTTTTCACACCCAAATGGCACTTACACGGACAATATAATTGTTGTGATACGTTTTACCATTTTGAAACACTAATATTTGTGTTCAGCGAAGTCTCCCGAGTATACCAATACCCCCCTCATGTACTGGTTTAATTATGTTTTCAAAAGGTAGAGAGTCAAATATAAGGCTTGCGTTTCAGTTTTTTCCCATTGAAATTCGCCAGATTGGTTACGTTGCCTTTGAGACCGTACGGTAGCCCAGGAATGAGAATTACCCCCCATAATGGCATACCATTTGCAAAAGTAGACAACCCAAGGTATTCCAAATGGGGTATGTCCAGTCTTTTTTAGTAGCCACTAACCACAAACACTGGCCAAAATTGACATTCAAATTAGTTTTTTGCATTTTGAAATATTAACACTAAGTTTGGCCAGTGTTTGTGACCAAGTGGCTACTAAAAATGACTGGGCATACCCCATTTGCAATACCTTGGGTTGTCTACTTTTGCAAATGATATGCCATCATGGGGGTAATTCTCATTCGTGGGCTACCATACGGTCTCAAAGGCAACGTAACCAATCTGGCGACTTTCAATGTGAAAAAAATGAAAAATGTAACATGCTTTTTTTTTTTTTTAAATTCTTTATTTTATTTGTGCTTAGCGTGAACAATCATATTTGCATTGCCACAATAGCTGGTGCAAGCAAGTATGGAAACATACATTAACATAGGTATGGCATTGAAATACATAGCACAATTTTCTTTATATTCAAGATAGGAAACATGTTAGAGATTAAACATTGAATAGGTGAGTTCAGGGTCAAATGCAACAACAGCATACATATGTGTTTACAGGTTAGACTGTGGCCTGAGTAATTGCACATTTAGATTTGTATGAACAAGCTTAGTGTAACAAATGAGGTTCAGTTGAGTGTTTTAACGTGAGTATGTAGCAAGAGTGTTTTACAAGATGGCAGTATGCTTACACAGGCAAGGTACAAGCTATGAGATAGAATCCTGTTCGGCTGTCCTTTAGTGTAGGCAACACACAATAAATATGGTGTCAGGTGTGGCACAATAGCTTGGATTGTAGACTTATAACGTGTGTTATGAGAAAAACTGTTGATGTGAGCTGTTGCTGGGTTACTAGTGAGGTGATCCTGGGTTGTCATGGCGTGTGTGCACCTAGGGGTATGCAAACAGGAAAAAAAACAATCATGGCACAACATAAATTAAATTTAGATTAACGGTATCATCAGCGCGGGTGCAGAAGTCCAGTACATGAGAAGGTGTATTAGAGAGTGCAGGTGCCGCGCACAAGGTGATGTGGTGGTTTTAGCCAATACCTCGGCTCGGCATTTTGGGAGAGTCTCTGGCTAGTGCTGTCTGAGATAGGCATGCCAGGGTGTGTTCACTCTTTTATTCAAGCTAGGAGTATGCAGTGCTAGTGCTCTATTTTAAAGGGTTAACAGGATAAACGTGAGGTATTAGCACTGGTAAAAAAAATCTAAATTAGATTAGGGGCAATGTGTCCAGGAGTATTCGCATGCTTAATCTGACGGTAAAGTAAAAGGTAAAGTAAACTAAAATAAGTTGCGTTAAAACAGAGTGTCACTGAGATTGAGGACATACATTTAGCTCACTCTTGTCACAGGATGAATACCGTCCCGGCTGGTAGAGGTATATTAACCGCTGGTACATTGGGTAGTGATGACGGTATGGTGCAACATTAAGGTAAGCTGGCGTCCATTATTGGCATGGAGGACTAAAATTATGGATGCTCAGTCCTCTGTCCTCAGGGAGAGCCTCTAGCTCAGCCAATCCCCTGGTTCGGGAAGCTCCCAGGGCACCTGATGGGGCAAGTGGTATCTCCTTTTTTCTCCCCGGGTGGTATCATTGCTTGATGGGTGTCCTGTTTGGTGGAGTTGTTGCTCGGGTCGCTCTTGTTGCCCTCCGTGTGGTCTGGAATGCTAAAGGTAGGTTGATAGCAAGTTCTCTTGTGCAGGTTGTGTCCGGTTGCTCTCCGCTTCTTCCCAGTTTTCCGCTGTGTTGCGCTATGTCGCTTGGTGGGTCGAGATGTGGCGGTATGTTGCCCAGCATGTACCTGGGTTCTGAGGCTCTGGGGTTTGCGAGGAGTCTTCCGGGTGTTTGTGTGGTCGTGCGGCTGCATCCCTGAGCAGCTCTCGTGCCCGGAATAGGTCTGATTAACAGCCTTTGATATAGGCTCCCGCTTGTCTTGTGGGGTTTGTGATGTAGGTTTGCGCTGTAGTCGACGCCAGAAGGCCCTGCAGATTTGGTCAAACTGGGTTTCAAAGTGCAGTCTCCATTGCTGGAGCCCTGGGTCCTCTGTAGCGTGGTCAGGATACAGCATTGCGGCCATCTTGGGCACCTCGTGCGGCTTGCCGTCTGACTGCAGTGTACCCTGTGATAGGTGAGTGTGAGTCTCAAGCGGGGACCGGGATAACCCCCACCGGTCCATAGGGGGGGGTAGCAGGGGAACAGAAGAGCTGCAGTGCGGTGCTGTCCCTGCGACGGGAGAATGGCCGCCTCCCCCGGCAGACAGGTTGCTGTCCATGTTAGGCCTCAAATCCAGATCTCGACGGACCGGCGTCAGTAGCTTCGGGTTTGGTATCAAACTGTTTAGTTTGGCTTCGTTTACCCGCTGGTAGTCTTTTTTATCACGTTTCTGAGCTAATTCGTGCCTTTTGGTCGAGTTAATGTTCAAGCAGAGCAGGAGCTGTGCTTGCATGTGTCTGCTCGGCTCAGTGTTCAGGCCCCGCCCCCCAACATGCTATATTTGACCCTGTAACTTCCCAAAACACCATAAAACCTGTACATAGGGGGTACTGTTTTACACATGAGACATTGCTGAATACAAATATGTGTATTTTATTGCAGTAAAATCAAACAGTATTATGACATTCAAAGTTAGAATGTCACGTAGAACTAAAACATTTTTAAAAATTTTTATTTTCTCCCATTTTTTTATTTTATTCATATTAAATTATGTTTTATACCTAAATATTTGATGTTAAATGGAAGCCCTGTTTCCCCTGAATAAAACTATATATAATAAGTGTGGGTGCACATAAAATGAAAGAGGTGAATTACGCCTGAACAGACATATAGCACAAATTAAAGTTTTTGTTTACGTTTTGTTTTGATCACAATGTGTACATTTGGCTCAGTCCTTAAGGGGTTAATTCACTCTGATTATTACATTTAATATTTATCCCAACATATGAGTATAGATTTGTTTCATAAGTATTGTTTTATTTAAAACAAGTTGAATTAATTCTTTTAGAATGTGCATGTATTTATTTCATGTTATTAATTTCCTTATCTTTATATTATAGATCCTATATCAGGTTTTTAGTGATTCTAGGCATACTCCCTGTACAGGTTATTTAAGAGACACTATTGGAAATGGACCATTGTCTTGAAAAAGTCTCATACAGAGACGAAACGCGTAGACACTTTGTTCATCTATGTTGCTTACATCCGGACTTGCGATCTGTTCCTTTAAGGCAGCCGCGGCCTTGTTTGAAATTACCGGCCGCGGCTTACCACGCTCTTCCATCTTAATGAGCTCGGCTCTATGTAACAGAGTGGGCTAGTTCACTCAAACAGCACAGCTGTGGTATGAGTGTTTACTTACACTTGCATCCTGTGACTTAAGGGGTTGAGCTTGCAGCACATCTGGATACCTGGAATCCACTGCTTGTATCATACCTGATCATGGAGTTGAACCCACATGAATAAGTAGAGCAAAAAACGGGTCGCAAGAGTATTCTGAGAACGGACAGCAGCTAAAATAGCCTGCCCTTCGGTGGGTCCCCGCTCAGAACTCAAGCTGGTTTTAGCTCATCTTGTGCCATTACAGAGAGAACATATCTGAAGTATATGAGACTGGTCCCACCCATACGGGCAGTCTAGATCTGAAATGCCAGCAAGTTCTCTCTGCATGAGAGATACAGCAACCCCAGACGATCGTTTCAGCCTTGTTAGGCATCATCAGTGAGGCATAGCTGATATCTCTATAGGCACCGTGAGCAAGGGGTCCACGTCTGGATTACCCTTTAAACTAATGGAGAGCAAAAAAAGGGTTGCAAAAGTATTCTGAGAACGGACAGCAGCTAAAATAGCCTGCCCTTCGGTGGGTCCCCCCTCAGAACTCAAGCTGGTTTTAGCTCATCTTGTGCCATTACAGAGAGAACATATCTGAAGCATATCAGACTGGTCCCACCCATACGGGCAGTCCAGATCCGAAATGCCAGCAAGTTCTCTCTGCACGAGAGATACAGCAACCCCAGACAATCGTTTCAGCCTTGTTAGGCATCATCAGTGAGGCATAGCTGATATCTCTCTAGGCACCGTGAGTACTCTGACTTATTTACAGGCTTGCAAGTTATTTTTTTTATCTTTTTTTAATGCAATGTGAATTCACAGCTCTATAATAGTGCTATTTATAAGGTTGATTACTGTTATATTAATTTGTTTCTTACTTTATGATTTTCACCATTTAGTGAATTAATACCTTCCCTACATAAGGGATTTTCACTAAGGCGTATTTGCTTTACATATTGTGGACTTTGTGTCTGTTTTCCTTATTTAGGTTTAGAAACATAGAAACATAGAATGTGACGGCAGATAAGAACCATTCGGCCCATCTAGTCTACCCAATTTTCTAAATACTTTCATCAGTCCCTGGTCTTATGTTATAACTATGATGGCCTTATGCCTCTCCCATGCATGCTTAAATTCCTTCACTTTGTTTACCTCTACCACTTCAGCTTGAAGGCTATTCTATGCATCCACTACCCTCTAAGTAAAGTAATACTTTCTGATATTATTTTTAAAACTTTGCCCCTCTATTTTAAGACTATGTCCTCTTGTTGTGGTAGTTTTTCTTCTTTTAAATATAGTCTCCTCCTTTACTGTGTTGATTCTCTTTATGTATTTAAATGTTTCTATCAAATCCTGCCTGTCTCGTCTTTTCTCCAAGCTATACATGTTAAGCTCCTTGAACCTTTCCTGGTAAGTTTATCCTGCAATCCATGAACCAGTTTAGTAGCCCTTCTCAGAACTCTTTCCAAAGTATCAATATCCTTCTGAAGATACGGTCTTCAGTACTGCGTACAATACTCCAAGTGAGGTCTCACCAGTGTTCTGTACAATGGCCTGAGCGCTTCCCTCTTTCTACTGCTAATTCCTCTCCCTATACAACCAAGCATTCTGCTAGCGTTTCCTGCTGCTCTGTTACATTGTCTGCCTACCTTTAAGTCATCTGAAATAATTACTCCTTTCCTCAGATGTTGAGGTTGGTAGGGTATCAAATATTCTGTACTCTGCCCTTGGATTTTTAAGTCCAAGATGCATTATCATGCACTTATTCACATTAAATGTCTGCTGCCACAGCTCTGACCATTTTTCTAATTTAAAACAGAAAAAGGTACTGGCGCTAATATAAGATGAAAAGAAACTGTTAAATGACACAAAAATTACAGCTGCTATATCACCAAATTCTTATCTTTGAATGCTAGAATTGTGAAGTGATGGTGAAGCGCTGAATATTAATAACCCATAACAAACGTGCTATAGTGCAGACACATGAGTGTATACTATACCTTAATAGATATATAAAATTCCAATTGTGGTATGCAGTACCTTAAAAATATAAACAACAAAACCAAACGTAGTGTTTACTGTGGTAAAAAGTGAATATAATTTTAAAAAGAGGGAAATATGCCCACTCACACTTTTAGGAGGTAAGTATGTATAGCTCACTAGAATCACTTGAGGGGTCCGTAAAGGCGATCCTATCCCTTCTTTGATGTGTGTTCTTTGCTTTCTTGATTTTTAAAGCAAGGAAAAACACATATGGTGCAATATCGTAGATCTTAAATGGTGATGGAAAAAGTCAAATTTGTACTTACAAGCCCAGAGCCATCCACATCGGCTATGATCAAAGGGTGTATGTGGTTAAGGACCACAATCCTTCTTTAAAGAAGAGCAGGAACAATGCCAGTAGGGATTTAAAGGTATATATACATTTATTTAAATATTAAAATATTTATAAAAAATATAAAATAAAATACCACTATCTAGGCATCAAAAGCCCAATACATCAAAGGCTGTTCCTCACAAGATTCCCAGGACGTGTTTCGCCGTGAAGGCTTCTTCAACTGGATGTGGAAAATATATACTCTTTTATGTATCTTTGGATATTAACCTAATGCTACGTACATTAACTGATTCCACAGTTTCGTAGGAACGGACATTACATCATCTTAAATACAAGTATCTATATACTATAGTTATGTCCATCTTATTACTCTTTTTATTGAAACAATTACACACAGAATCTTTTTTATTATGTACATAATTTATTTGGTTAAAATACAGAAAGAATATGTTTTTGATTCTTTCTTATTATTTTTGTTACTATGTCAACCGGATATACTGTTTGGGGAATGAACCGCTAGCTGGAACGCATAATTTATGATGTATCGTCATACAAACACGTGATCGGAAGTGAAGAACGTACCCGGAAACCAACTGAAAGAGAGGTTGAAATGCTGGGCGTCACTGTTTCCATGGTGAACGCCCGCGATTTTGCCAGACGGAAATCAATTACTGTACCCTTGGATGGGTACATATAGCAGGAACCTGTCCCAAAGAACATGCAAATACTTTTTTTCCACATCCAGTTGAAGAAGCCTTCATGGCGAAATGCGTCCTGGGAATCTTGTGAGGAACAGCCTTTGATGTATTGGACTTTTGATGCCTAGATAGTGGTATTTTATTTTATATTTTTTATAAATATTTTAATGTTTAAATAAATAAATATATACCTTTATATCACTACTGGCATTGTTCCTGCTATTCTTTAGAGAAGGATTGTGGTCCTTAACCACATACACCCTTTGATCAGAGCCGATGTGGATGGCTCTGGAATTGTAAGTACAAATTTGACTTTTTCCATTACCATTTAAGATCTATGATATTGCACCATATGCGTTTTTCCTTGCTTTAAAAATCAAGAAAGCAAAGAACACACATCAAAGAAGGGATATGGTTGCCTTTACGGAACCCTCAAATTTTTCTAATTTACCTATATAATTTGCCTTTTGGCTTATTTGTCTTATCCTTCCTGGAACATCAACCCTG